ATGCTTTTCGGTTTTCAGCCATAGCAGGAAAAAAACTGCGCTATTTAAAAATGCCAGCTTTCTGGGCTGTCCTGCCAGGGCAAACTCTGACTCTTTTACGCAGGCGGTTCGTGCGGTTTGCAAGCACAGGCTGCTGAAGCTCGCTTGCTGGCAGGGACCTTGAAATGCCATAGAGTTGTGGCAGTAAACATGGCTACAGCCAGTACCTCAGCCACGAGGTTGGAAAGCTAAGGAATGGACTGGATCTAGCTGGCAAAGCCACGGCTTTAGTCCTACTGATATTGCTTGGTAAATTAAAGACTCATGTGGTCAGAAAAAGAGAGATATACAGTAAAGAGAGATTCAAAGACAAAGAAAATTTTTAAATGGTTTACAGTGTATTAAAAATATATGCAGACTAAAAGTTGAAGTTCTTAAAGTAAAAAACAAAACAAAAAAAGGAAGAGAGTTGTTGTGTGTGGTAGTACACACCTTTAATCCCAACACTTGGGAGGCAGAGGGAGATTGACCTCTGTGACTTCAAGGTATGGTAGCACACACCTTTAATCCCAGTGCCTAGAAGGCAGAGACAAACAGATCTCTGTGAGTTCAAGGTGTAGTAGTGTACACCTTTAATCCCAATGCCTGGGAGGCAGAGACAGGCGGATCTCTGAGAGTTCGAGGACAGCCTGGTCCACAGAGTTATTCCAGGTCAAAGATATACAGAGAATATAAAATAGAAGTAAAAAGAAATGAAATAGAGGTTAAAACAAAGGTGTACAAAGATGGAAAATAAACAGAGAATTTTGATACTGTATGCTATTATGCTCTCTTTGAATTGTTTGAATGCTGAGGAAAGAGCAAAAGCTACTAAAAGATATTTGTTTATAAATGCTGCTGAACTAATCCAACATAGATATTTTGAATTTGGATCTAAGGATATAATACTTTGGAAAAGAGATTCTTCTTTTGTTTTCACAGAGGATCAGACCTTGTGGATTGCATTTATCCCGATATGGTATGATGGACCACGCCCTCCTGAGGGGTTGGTGTGAACCCCTTCAGAAAATTGCTTCGCTCAACTGCCAACTGAGATGAAACTAGCACACAGGTTATACCATGAAAGACCTAATTAACGACGCCCCCATTCAGCAGGAAGCAGTTTGGAGAGACATAACTGCGCCCATATTCCCAAAAAATGTTTATAAATGTTCTTTTACATTTAAAGGGGGATATGATATAGGTATGAATAATTTGCATTAGTATAGATTTTGCTTTATTGATAGAGATTTACGGTCAATTTTGTTATATGTATATGTATTTCTGATATTGATTAAGGTATTGTGATTGTGTAGTTCATTATTAAAATGTAATGTATAATTAGGAAATATAGGTTGTTGATGGATAATCACAAATAATAGTCAAGTTTGTAGTCATGTTAGTTAATATTTTCTAGATGTGTGTAGATATATTTTAGATAGGCATTCTTCATATTTTTCAAAGATTATAGAATATGGCATTTTAAATGTTTTAATAACTTAGGACTTTTCATGACAATGAGACACTCTGCTCCTGGCAGCACCAATCTACTTCAAGAGGAAGATGGGCATCGAAGAGGCACCTTATGGAGTTTGATAGCCATTTGGGCAAGAAACTGCTCTTGCCTGGACTATTGCATAAACTGGACACAGAGAACCCGCAGAGAGAGGACTACTGAACTTGCCTAAGGTGAGATGATCTTTCGGGGTTCCTGATTCATGAAAGAGTCTGCGAGACATTCTGCAGGACACAGCAGATAGTGACTGAACTGCCTTTGAATTTTCCTGCTTTATGGAAATGTCTGCTGGATACCATGGGCCTGAAGGCTGAAGATGGATGCCCCAACGGTACAGAGGAACTTTGGGTGACTGTCCAGGCAGCGAGATGTCTCTGTCATTTCTAGAGTTTTAAAAGTTGCTTTTTTCTTGTTTGCTTAGGTAGTATTGTATCTTTCTGGAGTCTTTGATGGAGTTAAGAATAGTTAGTTATAGTTATAGTTTTCCTTAGTTATGATAAAGATTATTGTAACTTTTACTTGATAACTGTTTCGTTATATGTAATTTTGCTATGTTAAAGTTAAAGCTCTTTTTTGTTGTTTAAACCGAAAAAGGGGAAATGATGGAGGAAGGTCATTGGTTAAATAAAAAGAAACTGCTTGGCCCTCATTGGTTAGAAGATAGGTGGGAGGAGTAAACAGAACAGAACGCTGGGAGGAAGAGGAAGTGAGCTCAGACTCCACAGCTCTCCTCTCGGGAGCAGACACCTCAGAGAGACACCATGCTCCCAGCTCCCAGGCAGATGCACGTGATGAAGCTCCGACCCAGGATGGACATAGGCTAGAATCTTCCCGGTAAGCGCACCTAGGGGCACTACACAGATAAATAGAAATGGGCTAAATTAATATGTGAGAATTAGCCTAGAAGAGGCTAGATAGAAATGGGCCAAGCAGTGATTAAATGAATACAGTTTGTGTGTTGTTATTTCGGGCATAAGCTAGCCGGGCAGGCGGCCGGGGTGCTGGGAATGCTTCCCTGCCGTTCATATTACAACAAGGAACATACACACCAGCATGCTTTTCTTTTCTTTATTTATTATGTGTACAATGTTCTGTCTGCGTGTGTCTGCATGCCAGAAGAGCACCAGATCTCATTATAGATGGTTGTGAGCCACCATGTGGGTGCTGGGAATTGAACTCAGGACCTCTGGAAGAGCAGCCAATGCTCTCAACTTCTGAGCCATCTCTGACCCCTAGGAACTTGCACACCAGCATTCTTAATGAGGTATTGTATCAGAAATGATCACAGAGAGTTTGGGGAAGTGCTCTGTGAATTTGAAACTATTTCAGATGTTTTGAGAAATAGCAAAACAAAATTTTTAGATTGCACCCATTACTAGAAAAATTGTTTTCTGAGACGTTAGCATAACCCTGCAGTGGACATTGTCGGGGTGTTGGAGTGTTGATACTTGCACAGAGACAGTGTGGCTGCAGAGGATCCTTCAAAGAGCCTTTTACAGTGTTTTACATTTTAAAGTGGTGAACACAGCTTGAAATATGCTCAGTTTTTGAACCTATAGACTGAAAACATTTGCGCAGCCCCCTAGGAAAGCACATGCCTGGCCATTGTCTTCAGTGTTCTTTGTGCAGAGTACTATAAAATGTAAGCCCTAGAGCCGAGCTTATTATATGGGAGTCTTGACTTCTGCTTGTGAGATAGGCTGTCTTTAACAAAGTATTTGGTTTTCCTAGGCCTCAGTTTTCTTCTCTGTAAATTGGGTTGGTAATATTGAATTCATAAGAATACCAATGGGCTAACTGATTGATAAATAAGCAAACAAATAAATCACTTAGACTTGGCACATAGTGGGCACTAAATAAAGTGGTGCTGCTTCATAAAAATTTAAAATGCTTTTATAAATCAGTGTATTGTGATCTCTCACCAAGAGCAGAGAGGGAGGATGAGTTCTGCTTTTAAAGCTGTCTCTAGCTAAAGCCTAGAACTAGGGACTATTCTAGAAGAAAACAGGCAGTGCAGTGTGGTAAAAAAAAGACTTTTGGCTTTGGATAACTGCAAGTTTGGTTCAATTCCAAGCCTGCTTATGAGCCTGGCCTTGATCCGTCAATTTCTGTGGCATTCCTGTCACCGTAGAGGTCAGCTGAACTCCTGGGGTAGCATGTAATCATATGTACAAAACACCAGTAAGCCCAACTAAACAGCAGTAACTCCTTGTTTCTCATTTGGAAGGACAGGAATATTTTATCTGGAAAATGGGTCCAGGGACGGGACAGTAGCAGAAGATTTGATTGAGGGCTGTGCGCAGTTTGATAGACGCCTCCGTGTGTGCTGAGGTTTTTAGACTGCCCCGGGCGGCTTCTGTTACTGCACAAGGAGTCTCAGTTGGCAAAAAGCATGTCGTGTTGTGTAATCCTGTCCTCCAGAAATGGGGAGATGGCGATCTCTGCATGACAGTATGCACGGAGTGCATGCTAGCCTTGGAACCAGGGGCAGAGGATAGGGTGCTTCCTCCAGACCCTTCTGTGTAAGCAGGAAGAGACGCTTCTGGGCACAAGATGTAAACCTTTCTTCAGTCCACAAAGGGCCATGCTGCGTGTGTAACTAAAATATATCTACATTTTCTCTTAGAAATGTGCTTCCTTTAGAGGCTTTTATATATATCTTCCATTAGTGTTGCCTCATCAGCTGGGACAGGGTTGCCAGCCATTTTCTCATGGTTTCTTCCAGCTTAGCCCTGCCCTTGACTGTGCACACGTTAAAAACTCAGGCAATAGATTCCTTATGGACTCAGCTCCATGGGCCACTGCCCGTCATTTGATGGCACATGGTTTGAACTCTTAAAATGAGAGTATCGGGTCTGCTGGTGTGTATTTGGTGTGTATGGATGCAGACGTTTCCACATTGCAGGAGTTTCCGTTGTAGACATTTCCTGCCAGAATGCCCCTTGCATGTATTGGCAACAGCCTGTGCCTTGCAGGGAAGGTGTTCCTGTTGTGAAATGAAACTCCAGCCCTTCACTGGTTGAATCTGTTAGGAAGTCTACGATATTGGTGGCATTGCTTTGTACTTGGGAGGACTATTCTCCTTTAAAAAGAAAAAAAAAAAAAAAAACCTGGTGATTTTAGCTCTCTATGCCGACTAGCGGCACAAAGACAAACTGCTGCTCTGCTGGGCTCTCAATGGCCAGGGAAGCAACTGTGTTTGCAGTGCCTTCCTGGCACAAAGCCTTGACTCTCTCTCCTCCAGGGAGCATGGGAGTGATGTGCTGGTAGCATGCTTATTCGGTGTGACGTCGGCTTTCTTTGGGTGCCCTTGCGGCTTGGTTGTGTAGCTAGAGAATTTCATGAGTAACACACGTGTTTGTCCGGCCGGTTTAAAGTGTTGCACTGCCCGAGGCTTTGCTTAGAGAGCCTGGAAGAGACTGTAGGCAGCATTCCATCTTCCTGCTAGCAGCAGAGGTTTCTCTATAACAGCTAGAGGTTTTATTTTTAACTGTTTGACTCAGTGCTCGTCAGATGATTGGAACCATCTAGCTACAGATCAAGCACGGAGTGGTGCGTGGGGGAAGCTGGAAAGGCAAAGGGAAAGAGGATGGCTGGGAAAGGGGGTGGGATCTTAAGAGTCGTGCCTCGCAGGCTCTGCCTCCTCCCAATGTGGAAGAGAGTTAAGGGCTCCCACTCGCTAGAGTGTGTCTGCAGGTCAAGCTGGGAACTCTAGGAGAATGGCTGCCTTCTGCCACTTAGAGACCTGATTGCCCCGTGGTTAGTGTACTGTGAGGAGGGAGCAGGACCGGAGGATTGTGTGCTTTCTGCTTCCTGAAAAGCAAGCTTCTCTCCCACTGGATGCTGCTTGTCTCCAGAAGCCTCTCACCATGATCGATAGCTCCAAGAAGCAGCAACAGGGCTTCCCAGAGATTCTAACTGCTGAGGATTTCGAGCCTTTCAAAGAAAAGGAATGCCTTGAGGGGACCAACCAGAAGAGTCTCAAGGAAGGTCAGTCTGTCTCTGGACACGGGCAGGATGGCCATGCTCATATTCCTGTCACCTTGGCAGCTGGCATGCCGGTCTGCCTACCACGTCTGTCTGCTTACCATCCGTGTGTCTGTTGTCTGTTCACTGTGACCCTTGCACTGTCCAGTTCTGTGTGGTGACAGCTGCCTTCAGAGAGCGGGCACTGACAGACAGCGACTGGAGTGGTTTGCAATGGGCATTAGGAATCTGTTTCAGTTAAGTTTGTCTTGATTTGTTTGTTCATTTTCCCCAGTTTGGAGGTTCTTCCCCCCCCCAAAAAAAATCCCTATGGTTTTGCGAGAGGCCATTTCCTTTTCATTATTAATCAGAACATTGCTTTGTGTTTACAATCACGTAATTCCAGGAAAATTAATTGTTACTGATTAGCATGTTGGCTTTTTGTTGTTTAGCAACAGAAAGGTAGCTGGCTCTTTCTTACTTGAGTCCTGAAATGATGAATCAACTGTGTGTGCATTATAAGCATTTTTGCCTTAAAAAGCACTTTGCCTAGTTTGATTTTTTTTTTTTAAGCAAACAAATAAGCTTGAGCATGCTACTGTTGGTTCTCATTGTCAGTGAGCGCTGCACTGATCAAGGAGATGGCTAGGGGTCTGGGAAGTGCTGCTCCTGTTTGAGGCACTCTCCTCTTAGAGCTGAGAGCACAGCAGGGCTATGGAGAGGAAGCCAGGGTCCGAAAAGAACAGCTTTTCCTCCATCCGAGACCTCAGTGCTGCTCATCCTAATGCCCACTCAGCTTTAAAACTGGTTTTCTGGTCCTCTCTGGGAGGCTTTCTGTTCTCCTTGCTCTCAGTTCTGTCTGCAGACCCCTCCTGTTCTCTCCAGTTTCTGTTCCTCCTACAGAGAGCCAGTCTGTGGGAGACCTCATTGCCCTGAGCAGCACTGGGTGCTGCTTCCACCTTTTCTCTCAGATGGTTAAGGGTGAAAATGTGGTGTCGGGACTTGGGAGTTGAACTGCCTGTGGCATTGGGTAGAACAAACATCTAGGTCACCACAGATAATATACAGTGAAATAAATATCAGTAACTGTTGCTAAGAACTGAACAATAGGTGTGTTCTGCTTACGTTCGACATGTGCTACTGCAGAATGTTAAGAAGCCAGTGCCAAGTGAGTTTTTAGGACACATGGAGACTCATGGAGGGGGAGGAAGGCTTAAAGTTTTAAAGCATGCATTGATAAACAGTTTAAGAATTCGCTTTGCATCATTTAAGACATTTAAGTGTCATTTCCTTTTAATGTCATCTATTTAAAAAACACTTTGTGTGCTTGTAAGATCAGGCAAATTGGAGAAATAAAAAGATATCAGAATTGTTGAATGTGGCTTAAGGAGCTTAGGATGCAAGGATCAAAAACATGAGGAAGGGGACTGCAGGTATGGGCATGTGCCTAGTATAGGAAAGTCGCAGGTTCAGTTCCCAGCACCATGCATACATAGATGCATGCATACGTGTGTACATGGTAGAAGGATCGTGACTGATTGATTACATAATTAAAATCTCCATGGCAATCCTGGGGGTTATGCAATGCAGTAAACAGTGCAGCATTGGAAGAGCAGAGATGGTCTGTGGGGTGACAGGTCTTTAGGTTCGCGCCCAGTGCAGCATCACTTTTGTGACCCTGGGTGTGTTCACTGCTCTGTACAACAAAGAGGAGCAGTCTCCACGTCCTTGCATGTACACAGGAGACTGAGGCAGTGTCGGTGCCATGCTCACGCTCATCCCCTGTAAACCCTTTGCTTCTATGCAAAACTTAAAGTTTAAGAGCCAACATATTTTTTTCTCATAAAGAAGTGGCCTGTGTTTTCAGAAATGTACCTCATAAAGAGGTAGAGGAGAGAACCTTGTGTTTCAAGAGAGTCCACAGAAATGACTGATAGTGAAATTCACATCTCACTGGAATTGCATGGAATAGGGTTTTGACATGCTTACTTATCGGATCATGTTTTCCCACTGATTTTCAATAGTAGGGGATGAGAGTCAAGTGATACAGCCAAATATCAAATCAAGGGTAATCTGCTTCCTCAGACCTGAATTTAGTCGGAACAGAAAAATGATTTTTTTTTGAAAACTCCTTTTTTTGGGTCATATGAAAATAACTTGTTCCTATGAAGAACTGAACCCTGAAAGTCAGTGAGCCCCAGTACCAGCTATGGGTTCATAATAAGGTGACGGCTGTGTATTCGCCATTCGTGACCTGGGAACCAGGTACTCTCCTCCTGTGCATCAGTTGCAGTACTTCTTGAGAGAGTTACTGGATGTCTAAGACTGACTTCTGAAAATGCTTCAAATCTAAGTGGATCCCTTGCTGTTTTGGCAAAAGAGGTGAATCTATAAATGATTATTAATAATGCCTAATAGTTTATCTTTGTGTGTTAAGAGGCACTTATTGAAGGTAGTTATGATTTTCACTTCAACACTGTTGGATTTTTCTACTCATTATTAAGAAGGCTGCATTTGTGTCTTTGAAGACCCAACCTATAAACTCTTTACACACCTCCATTATCAGATCATAAGTTTCTAGGCAATGAATGGCTCATCTGATTCTAGTGACAGGGCCACCAGCCTAGTCCCTCTGGTATTGTGGACTTGTGTCTGCTGTAAGGGCTAGAAGTCTTTTCCAAACTGTTGACAGTGCTAATTGGCTGAAATTAATATTGGGCTACTGGGGGTGGGGTTCAGATTTTGTAAGCAAATAATCAAGGATATAAGGATTTTTGTTTGTTTATATTGGGAAAGCAAGATGGTTCAGTGGGTAAAAGTGCTTGCCTCTGAGACTGACTACATGAGTTCAATCCCTGGGACCCATGTAGTGGAAGAGAACTGACTCCCACAGGCTGTCTTCTGACCTCTATACTCATGCCATCACACACATGTATGCACGCACACACGCACACACACACACACACACACGTACGCGCGCACATACAACTTTATAGAATTTTTGCAATACACCAACAAGTTTAGTATCATGTGGAACAGTTAAAGCTGTACCTCCATCTCATCCAGGGGATACATGGTTAGTAAGTGTTCTACCAGTGAATCACGCCCCCAGGCCAAGGGAAAAGTTCCCCATTGGTAGTTGCTGTAGATACGAGGGAATCAGTTGAACAGCAGAAGATAGCACCACACTTTGCTAATGCTTACTGTTGTGGGAACATTTTGGTAAGTCCCAGTCAGGGTGTGTAGCTGGAGAATTTTGCTCCTTTCTGCTCTGAGTGAGAAGCAGCAATCGTCATGAATTCCCTGAACAGAGTCAAAATAGAGCATTCCCTTATACCGGTTCCCTGTGTGAAAGCAGTGGAGAATCTTACCATCTACCTCACCTACAAGGGCTTTGAACGTTTTCTAATTATGCGCAGAACACATGAGCTTAAATTTACTTAGTTCTGCAGCATGACAACAAAAGAAGTGTTCATAGGAATTTCCAGGAATAGCCAATAAGCTGAGGTTCTTTATTTAATTCAGATAAGCCTCTTCCTGAGTTGCCATTGAAATGAATGATAGACTGTATTCATCAAAGGCAAAGTGGTAGTACTTGTAGTAAAAAGGGAAAAGTAGAATTTGAGATGAAGAACTCTTTGCTGTTGGAGATAAAATGCCCAAGAAAGAAAGCTGGATTGTGTATTTGGCTGAAAGTGCCTTCACGACCCCTCTGCATCTCACTCAGCAGACCCAGCCAGGAGCTGACGTATCCCAAGGCAGCTGTCCTTTGACAGCGTTCCAGTGTCTGGGCCCTTTCACTGGTCTCACCCTTTGGTACTGAGGTGAGGAGGGGTTTCCGAGCTGAGGGAACTGCTAGGTGAAGTGTGAGTTTGTGATGGTTTGCCGAGGGAACAGGCAGTGCCGTGCTGGAACATTAGATTTGCTTAAGGAAAGAAAGAATATTTGTCTGAGATATTCTAGGGAATCCAACCCAGAAAGAGAAAATAAGCAAGATAAATAACTTTGCAAAAGCACTTAGCTTTTTTTGTGGCAGAAATGAAGTCCTGACATCCTGCGGGTGTTTATCTGTCAGCCAGTGCAGCGGCTTACACTTGCAGTCCCAGCCGCCCCCAGGCTGAGGCAGAAGGACCGACCTGGACAGCATGGAAACCTTCTCAAAAATGGGGCAGAGGGTTAATTAAAAAAAAATTTTTAAAGCACTGCCTTAGGACACAGTCACAGCAAGTCTGCCCAGACAGCGCGACCTGGGCCTTCTGTTCTTCAGCTTTGCAGGCCAAAGCCTCTTAACATGTACTCCCTGATTCCTTCCCTAAAGAAAGTTAATCACACCAGTCCTAAAGTCCTAGCGCTTGGGGCGTTGAAGCAGGAGGATCCATGAGCCTGGACTCAGTGAGGCTCTGAAAATACTTGGTCCTCCTCTGCACACCCCCAGTAACTTCCTGGAGTCACTGACATTTCACCAGAGACCACTGTGTTGAACATCTGTCCTGACATCATGATCTTAATGGTTCTTGGGGACACAGTCATCTATCCTGTTTGTACTTAACCTCAAGTCCTGCACCCCACAGAAATGATATCACTCCACAGACGTTTCTTCCTCTTTCTGTGCAGTGTGGGACCTGAACGTAGGGCCTGTCCGTGCCAGACAAGCATTCTGGGACTGAGCTCTAGCCCCAGCCCCGCAACTGTATTTCAGGAGTATTGTACCCACCCACCCTACTTTAAACAAGCAGTGGATATAAATCAGTCATGCGGACTCAGTTAACCCAGTGTCGGAAAGGCACTGCAGGGGGTGTGAGGGCAAACACAGATCACCAAGGCGGAGCATGATCCCATGTTCATTCCTGTTCCAGACAGAAGTACTATCAGCACTTTCTCTCACTGGCCCTCCCTCTTCTGCTCTGCTTCAGCTGGTAGTCTTTCGCTTAAGCCGGGATACATAATGGATTGCTAAGGATCTTGAGCCCTAGTGAGAGACACACGCAAGTAAATGGCCAGTTTAGACAAGACGAATATGATAA